CTGAACTAAGAGGAATTAATATTTAGAAACCCACAATACGAGAATGAGTACGTCGAGCGAAATAATCCAAACAAGAAAACCCTCATATATATGCCATGTATCTCAAATTGTGGATCACTAAATATTAACTCCAAAATGCTATGAATAAAATAATTAACAATGAACAATACATTACCAAGCCTCATCCATAACAAATCGTATCATAACAAATCACATTTCCCTCGGGTAGTTGGCGTGGGAACAAAATAAATATTCGGTAAAAGATATCGTCTAGGATACGTAGTGCACAACAAACCATAGCCTTATACTCTACCCTCGAGGTAGGTAACACGGGAGAAATTTTGCAATTTTGTATGATTCTCTACAAAGAAAATGGTGTGGAGTATAGGCGCTCACAATATTCTGTGGCTCAGCGCAATATTTTACGGTTCACTACCTTACTCGAACACATTGCGGAGTATAGACATATCAGCCTAACCTGGAATATAATGATGCATAACATAGTGTAGTTTACTGCGGTCTTATTGCAGTACACCAACTAACACACTCTGAGTGTAGTTAACCACGGTCTCGTTGTGGTGCACCAACTAACCCCTCTCAAGCATCCATAATCACCGTAAAACGAAACAAAAGTTATTCCCTATCAACAAAAAACTCAAAATTTTAGACTACGTGTATCAATAGGCTCGTGCGTGCCCAAATCCAGCACGTGTCCTCTCACGGTCTCGCACGTGTCGACGTGCGACTCGCACTTCGTGTTCGCGATCAAAAGCACGTGGTAAACCAACTTGTGCAGAACAGCTCAAATCGGTCAACTGACATGTCCTATTGGTCGACTGGCGTGACGTGCATACATGCGCACACAAACCAATTTTGGCCGGTCGACCGAATGCATACGTCGGTCAACCGATCAGTGGGAAAATTCCCAAATCCTGCCGACCGATTTCTTCGATCGGTCGACCGATGCTGGTGACAAAACACAATTCGGGTTTTTCTTCTCTATTATGATCAAAAATCAAAAATTCTCGAAAGAACCCACGTATAAATCTTGATTTAGTATAATTAGGGTTTAATCTACTACATGAAATCACAAATTATAAAAATTTGGGGAAATCTATAAAACCCTAATATGTTTATGTTTGAAAATCATCATGAAAACAAATAACTTTAACAAAATCTCATGTTAAATCTGTTTCAAAACTTAAACCCAAATCAAAGAATCCGTTTCATGACTTTTTAAATTAGAAAGATCAAATCTTTACGTTACTTGAGAAAAGGGGTGATCTTTACACATAAAATAGGTTTTTAAAATCCAAACAAAACCAAGAAAACAGGGATGTGATTGGAGGAGATGCAACTCGCCTCAAAATTCGTGCTGAACTCCCAAACACGTAAGGGACGATCCTCATTCGTCAAAAGCCACCAATCTCCCCCTTCTTTAGGCCTTTTTGCTTCTCAAAGCTCTCCAAAAGGTCAAACTGATGAATTAGGGTTTTGAGGGGATGGTGGTTGCTAATCAACGTGGGGATTACAGAAGAAAAGAGGAGAAAAATCGGGTTTATAATATATATATGCATGCGTTCAAAAAGGCCCAAATTAACCCGACCCGAAAACTCAAACTGTGCACCTATCGGTCGACCGATGCCAATAATCAGTCGACTGATCAGTGTCCATCGGTCGACCGATTGCTAGGGTCGATCAACCGACCAGTGATGATTCCAACTGACAGTTTTTTCATGCTCATACACACTTACACACACACACACACACACACACACACACACATATATATAT